AAGGGAGAAACTCTGTGATGGTGGTGGTACTTTATCTTTGTTTCATCAAGGAAATCCATAACTACAGAGCATTATAAAGCTTCTCCTCCTCCACACATTTTTTTTCTTGGCAGTAGGGTAAAAGGGATTATAATTATGAATGAATTTTCCCCTAGTTTTCACTTATTCCCCATTGTTCGTCTTGAAATGAAATGTTGTGTCTTTTCAAGCCTCAGTCATAAATCAAAAGTACATGACTTATATTTATTTCTAAGTAGAACATACAATGGCTACCATTACTTTTTAAACAGTTTTGCCTACACAAATAGATAACTATTTAGTTTCTGTACATAGAGAGAAAAACATATTTTGTCTAAAATGGCTTATTGTAGATGAACAAGTTCAAGATCTCTGTGACAGAGACCAGTGTTAGAAGAGCTTAAAACAAACACGAGAGAGACTCTCATAAACAGCACCAATGCTATGTACCCATATAGGTAATTATATGGCACCTTGTCACCATAGTATCAGGGGGTATGTCTACACACAATTATTATTTTGGGAGAAGGATGCAAATAGTACTGCGAATATGCATACTTCCTCCTTTTTTTTTTTTTTTGGAAGTCGCTCTTCCAGTATTTATCCGTGTCTACATGCAGCCAAATTTCTAAATAAACCGCTATTTCAAAAGATCCCTCTAAACTTCACTGTAGGAGGAATAAGGAGTCTTTCAAAATAAAGGTTTATTTCAAAATTTGGCCATGTGTAGACGCGGGTAAATATCGGAAGAACGTCTTCCGAAAGAAAAACCCGGATGAAATATGCAAATGCACAGCACTATTTACATCCTTTTCACAAAATAACAATTGTGTTTAGACATACCCAGGGAGCCCAATAATTATTAATAGATTTTAGCCTCAAGGTAGGGAAGTACCATTCCCCACATTCCACGAAAGGCGAACTGAGGCACAAGGTAGATTAAGTGACCTGCCCCAAGTCACACTGGAAACCTGTGACAGTCATGAATTCAATGCAGCTCTTTCAACTCATCGTCCAGTGTTTTAATCTACCCAACTGTCTTGCCTGCCTGAGCAACATAAAAGCTAAAAGTAAAAGGTAAAAACTCCATTTCTGAAATAGACTATTGTAAAATTATTATTTTCCTTTTTCATACTTATTCATGGCTACCCTTCAGCTAAACAAAATTTTTTTCCACAAATTGTATATGTAAAGAATTTAACAATCTTTTCTGCTCATGAAATATCCACAAATAGTTTGTGGTTTACTTTAATTTTTTTCAATAACCAAAGGCAACTGATTCATATTTTTCTATTTATGATTAGTCAGATAAATCCTGTGGTCTTGTTTCTGTCCCAATTGGATATAAAGTCTGGTGCAAATAACTGCAAATCTGAAATTCAGTCTCCTCATGCTTGCAACTCTAAATTAGTTTTTCCCCAGATACTTTTCAACTGAACGTTCATGAAAAGTGATTTTAAAAGGGCCATGAGCATGGCTGAAGCAAATGCCTTCTCTACTTTTAATACATGCAGAATTTTTGGCATTATTCATCCAGTTCTATTAAACCCCCTTTTTCTATCTGGGCACATACAAAAACCAGGATATATTCCCAATTCTGTAGGGGCAAATTTCTCCTCTTGCATACGTTCAATGTATCTACCACCCCACAGCCGAAGGAGACAATTTAGTCCTAAAGATCCTAATAATTCTTTTCCCTTAGTGGGATTACATTCTACTCTCAATTTAATTGGTTTTGATCCAGATTAACTTCACTGAACTGACCCAATGACAGTTACTTACATGCATCTGATACAATATTTTGTCCTAAATTCTGCTATCTTTACTATGTTACCATAGGTGTTCACAAAATGTATGCTTCTCAGAAATTCTAAGATGTATTGGCAGTATTTTCAAATTCTAGAAGAATGGAAATCAGTGGAATTAAATTGGTACCTATCCAGAGTCTAAAGCTACATCTGTACTTTTTCTTGCACAAGAACACACTTGTAGTGTGGATGCTCCGCAAGTTTTTGCGCAAAAACTCTATAGTGTAGATGTAGCTTGAGTGAGAACAGAACCGGGGCAACCATCTTTATACTGAATACTAGCCAATTAGCCTGTCTTAAGACGGGATTTTCAGGTCTTCTCTCCTGAGCTCTCTCGCTCTGTCTCTCTCTTCCTCCTTCCCAACCTCCTGCCTCCCCCCTCTCTCTCAGCTCTCCTCCGCCTCCTGCCTCTTTCTCTGACTCTTTCTCTGCTCCCCCTCCTGCCTCTCACTCTCCCTTTCTCTTCTCCTCCTGCCTCTCTCCCCCCTTCCCCGTCCCTCCCCTGTGGTGCTCGGCTGAGTGCTGCCTGCTCAGCCGGGCTGCCTAGGAGGGGTGGGGGGGAGGGTGACGTACACTGCTGGGGCCGGGACCGTGTACATCACCGCTCTCCCTTCCCCTCCCACCCCAGGGGAGCCCAAACAGCCCCTTGTGCTGCTGGCTCCCCCGGCAGCCCGGATGAGGGATGCAGCACTCAGCTGAGTGCCAGAGCGGGAGGGGAAGGGGGGCGGTGACATACATTGCCCCGTCCCCTGGCCGTGTATGTCACTACCCCCCTTCCCCTCCCTCCATGGCGGC